CACACACACACACACACACACACACACACACACACACACACACACACACACACACACACACACACACCTATTCATTTGTCGGTCATTTCTACAACCTAACCCTGATTCCTCACCCTAAACATCACCTCACAGGTTAGGTGAGGTTACACAACCCCCAAATACTCCCCTAACCTGACCCAGCCATATCCTCGGTCAACCAGTCTGTTGAAGCCTAAGGTTTTGTCAAACAAAACCCATCTATACGTACCATAACACCTTTATCGCTGGACGAATCCTACCTCCTTCTTGAATTCCCACCCTGTCCCCTCAAAATGAGCCCTATAACAAACCTCAGAGATAGGGAGGGATTCTATCCCTAAAGTCTGCAACCAGCCACTGGGAATCAGATGACTAGAYCTTTCACAATTAAACACTACAATCATAATCTCCTTCTTCCACAGAACATTATCCTTTAAATCCAATAAGAAAAGAGGGATTACAGGTCCTGAGTTTACCTATTTACCACCAGGGGCCACTACAATCAGACACTACCAACTCACCTACAAGTAMTGAGTTCAACTACAAATTAATCCACAAGTAACAAATAGACCAAACAACCAAACAATACCAAAAATAAAACAATTTAAAATCCTAATTAAAACAGCAATATAACAAACCCCAAAACACACGTGTGTGTGTGTGTGTGTGTGTGTGTGTGTGTGTGTGTGTGTGTGTGTGTGTGTGTGTACTGCTGTTTTGTATTTTTGAAGGCAGACAAAGAAACATCCCACTTGACACCCACTCCCTCCCCACAGGATAATATTAACACCACAACTTTCGTTAACCCATAGATAACTTTTTAAAATATATTTATTATTGCATAACTGAACAAATAGTGGTGTGGTAAAAACTACACAAATCAATGAAATGAAAAGGTCCACTTCATTTATACACAGAGTAGGACTTTCTAGTTGAACTGCAGCCAGCTACTTGGTGCATTTGCCCTTTGTGATTTTAATTTTCAAAGTATATATCCATCCACCCATTACCTTTTACTTGCTTCTTCCTTTCAGGGTCACTGGTGCCCATGTCCAGAGGGGTGGGGTACACCCTGGACAGGTCACAAGTCCATCACAGGGCCAAAACTGGACATACGTAGCTTTTAAATCCTTCTTTTTCACATGTAAATCCTTCATTTGGGGTCTTTATAAAGTGGAACTGCAATGCTTTGTTCTAAATTTCTGGTTATTGTAGCTCCACAGGCTCCTCTTTCAGCCCTGTGTGTGTCTGAAGCCGTGTTTATATCCAGTTTTAACTCGAATTTTGAGTGAATTTTTAAAATTTTGCAAGAAGGAAAAAAATGGAGAAATGCAAATCAGATGTGCTTCCATCAGCTGGCTTGAAGCGAATCAGTTACATCAGAGGCATGTGTAGTAAACAGGAAGTAAAGCCACAAACTCACAGGGACACATCTCAGGACAATGGAGAGAAGTTATCAGGAACGTGTTGCTGCTATCAGGAAACTTGTAATTATTCTGTCATCAACTAGTTCTGGTGATGTTACATGCTGTCTGGAGAYGTAGAKAAAGAAATGCAATTCTCTTCACGTTCCGGGATTAACTGAGAATGCACCGACAGCAGGAGGAGGGTCAAGCTGCAGTCGCTCTGGGACCRGTCCGTTACCGTTCAGACAGTCGGAACAGCTGATCAACCATGTGAGGTAAATGTTCGCTACGTCAGAACTTATTTGACAAAAAAAAAAAAAGAACTTATTTGACAAATGTGTTTACATCTCTCTTTTTGCGCAATAACTCTTTTTAAAAAAAAACAACCCAAAACCACCTCAAGCGAGCATATCAACTTTTTTTTTGTAAATTAGAGGAAGTTTTTTCGAATCGTGCCATTTCCATTCACCAGTGGCTACTCCCTGGGCCTACTCACTCCTCATTTGCACATACCTGCGGAGGGCTGGCCACCACCATCCCACCTGAAACCAACTATGTACGAGTGCAACTGAAGGTCCTCCACAGCGAGTGAGGACCTACAGTCAATATGGCAAGCCATTTTAGCATATAATCGGTTTTGTCTGACCATCTGTAATTACATTCTAAATATCTAAAAATGAGTTTTGACTAGGAATAACTACATTTTGACGATCCGGAATGTTAATTTAAGATATCTGTATTAACATTCTGACTAGTCATAATTCCAATTCAAGATATCTCAAAYGTAATTATGACTRGTCAAAATGACATTTTTAGATATCTGAAATAAGAAATTGCTCTAGTAAGGCTAGTGACTTAGTACGACTACTTGTATTTATGCAGGCTAGATAGCTCATGGCATGCACATATGATTCATACTTCATATTCATATTTTATAAAGTAAGACTGTGTTGCTGGCTTTTTGGATGATTCTATAGGGCGCACCAGAGCAAGCAACTATATCCATATTTCATGCATTAACCAGCGCAGCTTGAAAACAGATCACGATTATCATTTTCTAAGCAATATTGAGCAATAGTTTTGGTTATTTGTCCATTTATAATATTTTGTCATTGTTGATATTTGGCAATCAAAAAAAAAATAAAAACAGCTGGAACTGTTC